CCTGAACCCTGGCTGGGTGGTGCCTCTCTGGAATAGGGGTCCCTGTAGCCTCGCTTCTGGTTGGGGCTGCAATTGTGGTTGCCAAGAGGAAGATGGCCTGGTTCCATGGTCAAGTGGAGGGGGTGTGGCTGCTGTCTGGGCAACCCCCCTTCAGACCAGGGCTGTGCTGGTGCTGACTGCCATTAGCATTGAATCCACCCCTGGCCTGGATAAAATTCCCACCCTGGAGGGACACTCTCTGTAGGAGGAAAAATTCCTTCTGGAAAATGAGGGAATTGCCTCTGAGGCTGCAACATACCTCTGTTAGTTGATGCTTCTTTCTGGCTTCCTCTGACTGGAATCTGTATAGTCTCCTCATTCCTCATGATATTTCGGTAAGTGAATATGGGTGGTCTCCAGCTTCCACCCGTCCAAACAGACTGTGAGACCCAATCTGTCACCTTTAAATTCTGGAACTGTTGATGTAAATTTGCCCTTGATGGACTTCCAGGAATAATCTGGGGGTTGTCTTCTTGAGAGAAATCTGACCCCAATTGTCTCTCTTCCCTCCAATCCGACAGAATAGCCATATGCCTGGGGCTAGAGAAAGATTTCTCTTCAGAGAGCTGGCTTACCTCTGGGTTATAACAACTTCTTGAGTTGAAACGCTTCGGTATAGCTCCCAAATCTCCTACTGCCATCCTGAAAGCATCATCTCCTCCAAACAAGGGCTGGCAGGTTCAATTAATGGTCCAGAGGGAGGGCCCCCACACGCTCCCCCCTGCACACCTCCAACTTCGGCTGATTGCTGCTCTTTGTCCATTTCTGGGAAAAGAACTCCGGGGCATCAGCCAAGCCCATTCAAAAAATAAAAGTGTGACTTGGGAAATAAATGTCAAGCATCCAGAAAGTATCCATGATATCAATCACTCCGAAACGTTATCTCTCCAATTGATTTATTAGGAACAGATCTGGCATGTCAAAAACAAGTTCCCAAGTGAAAGTTTTTTGGTGTGTTACACAGAATCCACCTTCTCTCCTCCCACTTCTACACTTCATAAATCAAATAACTACAACTGGAATAACCAAATAACTACAACTGGAAATTCTTAATACGACACACAGAATAACCTTGAACTTTTCAACTCCTCTAACTCTAAAAAAAATATGTGGCAGCTGAATTTTAAAGCTGACACATGGTGAGTTAATTTTGTGAGTTTGCTTGCTAGCAAATTTTATGAGTTTGCTTGCAAGCAAATTTTATGTGACAGACTCAGGTAGGCGATGGCAGAAACACAGATCTCTAAGTGAATCTGTGATTCTGTGAGCAACTCAATCTTTCTGCCTGCTTTGCCTGATTTTGGGTAAAAGTTGCTCTTTTTTAATAAAAAAAATCAATATTTATATAAATATTTATAATATTTACATACAAGCATGCCCATCCAGTCACATGACCACCAAGCCATACCCACAAATTAGGCCACACCTGCAGAACCGGTTTTTAAGAAATTTGAATCCCACCCCTAGCGGGCTCCCATTTCGGCATTTGGTGTCGAATTGGTTGGCCACCACTGCCCTGTATCATTTCAAACAAATAATTGTTCAGTCTCTTAAAAATGTCCAGTGTGGGAGCACCCGCAACTTCGGGAGGCAAGTTATTCCACTGATTAATTGTTCTAACTGTCAGAAAATTTCTCCTTAGTGTATATTGCTTTAGAGTAGAAGGATAATTCATCAATTTGCAGATGACACTAAGCTGACAGAAACCCCAGAATACAAGCTCAGAATCCAAAAATATCTTGGCAGACTTGAACAATGGGCCCTATCCAACAGTATGAAATTTAATGTGGAGAAATACAAAGTTTAATATACAGGTGAAACTCAAAAAATTAGAATATCATGCAAAAGTTCATTTATTTCAGTAATGCAACTTAAAAGGTGAAACTAATATATGAGATAGACTCATTACATGCAAAGCAAGATAGTTCAAGCCGTGATTTGTCATAATTGTGATGATGATGGCTTACAGCTCATGAAAACCCCAACTCCACAATCTCAGAAAATTAGAATATTACATGCAATCAATAAAACAAGGATTGTACATAGAACAATATCGGACCTCTGAAAAGTACAAGCATGTATATGTACTCAGTACTTGGTTTGGGCCCCTTTTGCAGCAGTTACTGCCTCAATGCGGCATGGCATGGAAGCTATCAGCCTGTGGCACTGCTGAGGTGTTATAGAAGACCAGGATGCTTCAATAGCAGCCTTCAGCTCTTCTGCATTGTTCGGTCTCATGTTTTTCATCTTTCTCTTGGCAATGCCCCATAGATTCTCTATGGGGTTCAGGTCAGGCGAGTTTGCTGGCCAATCAAGCACAGTAATCCCACGGTCATTGAACCAGATTTTGGTGCTTTTGGCAGTGTGGGCAGGTGCCAAGTCCTGTTGGAAAATGAAGTCAGCATCCCCATAAAGCTCATTTGCGGAAGGAAGCATGAAGTGCTCCAAAATCTCCTGGTAGACAGCTGCGTTGACCCTGGACTTAATGAAGCACAGTGGACCAACACCAGCAGATGACATGGCTCCCCAAATCAACAGACTGCGGAAACTTCACACTGGACTTCAAGCATCTTGCAGTATGTGCCTCTCCATTCTTCCTCCAGACTCTGGGTCCTTGGTTTCCAAAAGAGATGCAAAAGTTGCTCTCATCAGAAAAGAGGACTTTGGACCACTGAGCAACAGACCATTTCTGTTTTTCTTTAGGCCAGGTAAGACGCTTCTGACATTGTTCAGGAGCAGCTTGACAAGAGGAATACGACATTTGAAGCCCATGTCCAGGATCCGTCTGTGTGTGCTGGCTCTTGATGCACTGACTCCAGCCCTCAGTCCACTCCTTGTGAAAGTCCCCAACACTTTTGAATGGCCTTTTCCTGACAATCCTCTCCAAGCTGCAGTCATCCCTGCTGCTTGTGCACCTTTTTCTTCCATACTTTTCCCTTCCACATAACTTTCTATTAATGTGCTTTGATACAGCACTTTGGGAACATCCAGCTTCTTTTGCAATTACCTTTTGAGGCTTTCCCTCCTTATGGAGGGTGTCAGTGATGGTTTTCTGCACAACTGTCAGGTCAGCAGTCTTTCCCATGATTGTGCTTCCTACTGAACCAGACTGAGAGACCATTTAAAGACCCAGGAACCCTTTGCAGGTGTTATGGCTTAATTAGCTGATAAGCTTTGAGCCTAGAATATTGAACCTTTTCACAATATTCTAATTTTCTGAGATTGTGGATTTGGGGTTTTCATGAACTGTACGCCATAATCATCTCAATCATCACGGCTTGATCTATCTTGCTTTGCATGTCTATCTCATATATTAGTTTCACCTTTTAAGTTGCATTACTGAAATAAATGAACTTTCGCACGATATTCTAATTTTTCAAGGTTCACCTGTATGGGCAGGAAAATCAAAGGTAGAAGTACAGATTAGGTGAAACCTGGCTCAAAAGCAGTAACTGTGAAAGGGACCTTGGAATCCTACTGGGCGATCATTTAAGCATGAATCAGCAGTGTGTGGCAGCAGCCAAAAAAGCTTATACAATCCTTGGTTGTATAAACAGAGGAATAGAATCAGAATCACGTTGAAGTATAAGTAGCGCTTTATAAAGCCTTAGTAAGGCCACATACTGCATCCAGTTTTGGTCACTACATTACAAAAAAGATGTTGAGACTGGGAAAAGTGCAAAGAAGAGCAACAAAGATGATTTGAGGCCTGTAAACTAAAACATATGAAGAACAGTTATGGGATTTGGGTTTGGCTAAAAGAATGATTAGGGGTACATGATAGCAGTAATTCAGTATTTGAGAGGTTGCCATAAAGAGAAGGCAGTCAATTTATTTTCAAAAACATCAGAGGGCAGGACAAGAAACAATGGAAACTAATCAAGGAGAGATGCAACCTGGAATTAAGGAGAAACTTACTAACAGTGTAGACCAGTGGTCCCCAACCTTTTGTGGGCGGGGGGGGGGGGGGGGGGGGGGGGGGGGGGGGGGGGGGGGGGGGGGGAGAAGAAAAGGAGGCTTCGCTCTCTCGCTGCTCCACCATCCAAGGAAGAAACTGCTTCAAAGAAGCGGGGGGGGCTTTTCCTGTCGCCGCAGCTATTCCGAAGCGCCCGTTTCACCCCCACTCCCACCCCGCCCGCGCGCGCGCGCGCTTCAATCCACAGTGTCCCGTTCTGCCTGCCTGCCTGCCTGCCTTAGTTTCTGGTTGTTTGGGAGCAGCTTCGGCTGAGAATAATAACTATTCGCCTCTTTTACTCAGCCGAAGCTGTTCCGATTCAACCATTAACGAAGGCAGGCAGGCAGGCAGAACGGAGCACTGCGGGCGGGCGGGCGGACGGGGTGGGGGTGGGGGAGAAACGGGCGCTTCGGGGAAGCTGCGGCGACAGGAAAAGCCCCCCCCACCCCCGCTTCTTTGAAGCAGTTTCTTCCTGTGCTGGTGGAGGAGCGAGAGAGCGACTGAGAGAGCTGACCCAGAGAGAAGGACAGGCTTCGGTTGCTTCCTCCCTCCCCTTCTTTCATTTGTGTCCTTGATCCCCGATCCCAGCAGCATTCACCGAAGGTGAAGAAAGCCGCCATTTTTTTTAAATTTTATTTTCTTTGCGGCCCGGTAAAGAGTGCTCCACGGCCCGGTACCGGTCCACGGCCCGGTGGTTGAGGACCCCTGGTGTAGACAATTAACCAGTGGAACAGCTTACCATCCTAAGTTGTTGGTGCATCATTACTGGAGGTTTTTAAGAAAAGTCACTTACCTGAATAATATAGCGCATCCTGTTTGAGCAGGAGGTCCCTTCCAGCACTATTCTGATTGATTTTAGTTTCCATGCATTGCTTTTTGTCCCGCCTTCAGTTGCTTTGGAGAATAGGATGACCCCCTCTTCTTTGTTGGCAGCCCTTCAAATATTGGAACATTGCTATCGTGTCACCTCTAGTTCTTCTTTTCAGTAGACTATAGACATACCCACTTTCTGCAACTGTTCTTTATATGTTTTAGCCTCCAGTCTACTAAATCATCTTTGTTGCTCATCTCTGTATTCTTTCTAGAGTCTCAACATCTTTTTTACATTGTGGCGATCAAAACTGGATGTAGTATTCCAGATGTAATTTTACCAAGACATTATAAAGCGGTGTTAACACTTCATGTGATCTTGATTCTATCCAGTGATGGGATTCAAATAATTTAACAATCGGCTGGATGGTCATGTGGCTGGGTGGGCGTGGCCAACTCGATATCAGTTCTTTGCCCTAATGACTGTTTTAAGTTTAAAAAAAGATATACCAAAATCTAGTTTATTATTTCATGCATTTAATACTTAAATAAGAATAAAAAGGTACACAAAACTAGATATTGTTACAAGAGTTTTAAAGTATTTATTAAAAACTATTAGATAATACTTGACAAAAAACAATAAAACTTATTTAAAACTGTTATCCAAATTGCTGTTTTATTGGCGTTCTCACTTGTACTTTTCTTCAGTTTTACTCTAGCATCATTGGCTGTGTGATGTACTGTTAACAGATCAGCAGAGTTGGAAGGTCATCTAGTCCAACCTCCTGCCCAAGCGGGAGACCCTATACCATTTTTGACAAATGGCAGTCCAATTTCTTCTTGAAAGTCTCAAGTGATGGCGCTCCCACAATTTCCAAGGGCAAGCTGTTCCATTGGTTGATTAACCATTTTGACTGTAGGAATAGGGTCCCATTCATGTAGAGGTAGGCCAATTAGACTAATAGTCATTAAGTTAGTTATATTGGAAACAGGCGAATTCTCTTCTCTGAACATATGATGTTCATTTGTGAAAAACCCCTTTCTGCTTCTGCTGAACTTACAGCATGTTCTGACGATCTCTTTAGCTTTTTGATAAAAAGTTTTATTTAAGTTTTCACAAAACATACAAATACAAATAAAATATCTTTTTTTGAGAACAGCGTGGCCCCGGGTTATCACTTCTCCATACAGACATAAACTCAATACATATTTATCTTATACATTCTAATCCATATCTTAGAACTATTTTCGTAATTTTTTCAATAGCTTTCCCTTTATTTCCTATAGCCTTATTTTAAATTATCTCATTCCTTAATTCAATTACATATCTTTTTCTAATTTTTAAAATCTTTCTAATCAATGTTTTTATACTTTCGTCTGTCCTGTTTACAATTTCATATTATCTTTTCACATAAAACAAATTTTCCGCTGTAATTACTAGACTGGAGTGTAACACCTTTGTATCTTTTTTCAAATCTTATTTAAAAATTTAAGTTACATATTTACAGTTATAACATTCATTTTCTAACCTCTATTTTATAACACATACCTATTTTCAGTCGAATTCTGCTTGGTACATTCCCTTAAAATACACACTAAATTCTTAAAAGAAAAAAGTATATATGTATATATATCTGTGTATATATGTATAACAATAGTAAATGGAATAATTATTCTATTCAAGTACAGCTCTGCCATTAATATTAATAACAATCTTTTACATTTCTATTTCTTTTAACAAACATTACCTAGTAATATTAGTTGTCTTTCACTTTAATCATCTATATTTCATATTTTACTTATTACTGTCTTTAAATAAAAAACCAAACAATAGTTATTAACAGTAGTCAATAAAGTTATTATTCTTATTCAAGTTCATCTTGTCAACTGATAAAAATCTTCCATGTTTCTTCTGAGTTTTTTTAAACATTCTTTTTAAATCATTGAGAGCCTTATTCTCTTTACAAACAAATATTCCACTACACATCAATATAAATTTTTTCTATCACTTTAATCATCTAACATATTTTCTAACCCATTTCCATTTCTAATATAACAATGCTATCACATGCACCCTTACAGAATCCTCTCCTTAAGTTAAATTTTAACCATTGTCTGTATGTCTTTTAAATAGGTTTATACCTTTAATTCTTGTACGTTTTTCTTGTACCTCTATATCTTGTTTCTGTCTTTTGTAGCTTCTTTTCCTTTCCCTCTTCCCTCTCTTCTTCTCCCTCCCCTTTTTATTCCCTTTTCTATCTGATTCTCCCTTCTGTGATCCTCCCTTCTGCTTCTTCCTGATATTATGATTACTTTTCAAATTACTCTTTTTTTTTGGTTGTTGCTTCAGTGGTTAAGTTTTTAACTCCCTCCCCCCCTTTCCCTTTTTTACCCCACTTAAAATTGCTTGGTCATTAAAGATGGCTTCTTCGTTGTCCTGCCCTTCTTGTTCTACCAGCGTTTCTTGTTGTTTTTCACACTTCAAGATCTAAAAATTGAAATACGAAGCCAAAAGATCCTCTTCCGTCTTCTGCTTCTTCTTTTTGTTCTTTAAGTCTCATTTTTAACTCTTCAAGGAGTGATGCCATTTTAAAACATTTTAAACAACCCCCAATTGATTTTATTTTATTTCATTAGGATCCCCATCCAAAGTTCCAGGAATCATCCAATAATCCAAAACTGTTTCTTGCTTCTTTTCTCACTTTCTCTTTCCGGGGGCTTTGTTATCTTATAACAAGGTTTCAGGTACAATGTATCTTTTGCAAGCCTTGTTAAAATTCCACTATCAATTTTTTTTAAGTTCCAGGTGGTCTCCTCCATTTTCCAGATTCCACCCTCTTTTTTCCTTTTTCCCTCCGCTGCTTTCTTTCTTTTTTTAAAGAAAGTTTTTAAATTATCCAAGAATCTTTATCCCTTTGACACTTTATTTTCAGCTAGAAATAGCCTATTAATGTCAAAGTGGATTAGTATCAATTTCTTATTCGAATCTCTTCTTCTCAATGTTCCAAGTCAGTTAAAACTGTCGATGTTAGAGGAAAAAAAGCCAATTCCGTTTCCTTTCCCTTTCTCTTTCACAGCTTAAAATCTTTTTTAGGAATAGTATTAGTCTTTAAAATTCAGGTTCCAGGTACCTTAAATAGATGCTCTCCATTCAACCCGGTCAGTCAAACTTTCTCCTTTAAACTTCCCTCCTGCACAATCTTGTCCAGTCGGGTTCTTCTTTGAGGTGGCCATTTCTGACCACCGCTGCAACCGCCTTTGGGAAAGGGAGTAATGGCCAGCTGAGGAGGAGAGATGCGGTTCTCCTCAACCCCGCTGATGGCTCCCCCTTCTTCACCACCTCTACGGGGTGGCTTCAGCCCCGAATCCGGGCAGCTCGGGGCACTCCAGCAGCGAGCACGGATCAAAACCGCAGATGATCGCTATTTCGGTCCATCGCTGAAGGAGCCCAAACTGGAAGTCCCCTTTAGCTTTTTGAATACTGTCAGGAATTGCATATTTCTGAGAATTTTTAAAAACATTTTCTATGAAATCTTGATAATCGTTCATATTAATTTGGTAATTAAAAATGTCACTAAATACAAGCAATTGTTCTTCAGCTGCTTTCCGTGGAACTATTCTTCAATATTCCAGTAATCTGGCTCCAAAAAATGAGAAATTTTAATTTATTCGTGTCTTGAAATTGGCTATCTGTTTTTAAATGTTCACAATGCATTAGTCTTTTATTCAAATTTGTTGCGATGCTTTCTAAAAGTCTTTCCTGAGGAAGCGCAACAAATCAATGATTTGTTGATACAAATTTTATATTTTTGAAGGTTTCTGAAGTAATCCATCCACTTTTTTTTGAATGTACACTTTTACTTTCTAAGCATTTCAAAAACTTTAATTGATCTTATTACAAATTTTTCAGCCTTTATGATGTCTACATTTCTTGCTTAAAGCGCATTTGAAAGAAGAAAAATTTCGTTTAGAATATCAATAATCAATGCCAAACCAGTCATATATTTTCAGGACGGGCAGCCATACCTAAGTACTTTTGATTTCAGTGAAAATAGTAATATAGCACTGGATAAGCACGCCACACAGCTAGAGTTAACCTTAAACTACAGGCAGCCCATCTTGCTTCCAAAACTCTTTCCAATCTTTAAATTTCAGTTCCAAATTATTTGGATATTTTGGTAAGTTCAGTTTGGTTCTTATTGGATTGTATATATCTTATCAGTAAATATTTTTAAATGATTTACTTGCTTTATTTCCTTTATTGAATAATCTAAAACAAATTGGAGGCAATGGTTTAAGCAGTGCCATATTATGATATTTGGGATTTTTGCTATTCTAGTGCTCACTCCAGATTTTCTCCCAAGCATAAGCTGGCACCATTGGAGCAAAATCCTATTAAATTTTTTTCTAGGTAGTTCTTAGTAAACCCAACATTATTTAAACTTTCCATAACTGAAGAACATATTGTCTTGTTTTTCCAATTGCACTAGCTCAATAAGAATTGTTGATGAAGTAACTGAATCCTCAACTTTTAAGAAAAGTTATCACAACTGGTTTGCAAGATATTGTTGAGGCTTCATCAATAATCAAACATTTTCAGATTATTTTCAATAATTTTAGTAAAAAAATTGAATTTCTTTTGCAATGAAATCAACTATTTTCACTGCAGTTTTAGTGAATGAATCTTATTCCCATATCTACTTCATTTTTAATTTGCACTTCCATGTCTTCTATGTCTGAAAATCTTTGGACCAGGCTGTAAACTGTATTGAATATTCCACAAGTAGTACCTAAATATTTTTCAGTCATCTTATCTATTTTGTTATTGCATCCTGCTCATCACATTGTTTTAAGTTCTCTGTGCAAATGTTAAGAGCTTTTGATGAAAAATGTTCTTTCATTTTTTTTTTCTTAGAGAAGCTTGTTGTACCTCTTTATTTTTCTCTGCTGTCTCAATCTGGAAATGCTGTGTTTCTTGGAAAATAAGACAGGGCTTTATTTTCTTTAGACCCCCGAAAAAATGGCTAGGCCATCTTTTTGAGGAGGTGTCTTAAGTTTTCCTCTACGAGTCTCACCTAGCCACCAGGCTGCTTCTATTGTGGCCAAAAGAAACACCCCATGCTTCCGTAGGACCGAAAAGAACTCTTTCTCAAGCTTAGTGCAGACTGAGGGAAGAGAATGGCAGGCAGGGAAATTATCCCTCCCCATTTTCCTATTGTTTTCCAAAAAGCCTCAGTTCCAAAACTTCAGCGTTCGGAATGGAGGCTTTTTGGTGAACGGGAGGAAAATGGGGAGGGGGGATTTTCCTGCTTGTCATCTATTCCTTAAGCTTAGTACAGACTGAGGGGAGAATGGCAGGCAGGAAAATTCTCCCTCCCCATTTTCCTCCCGTTCTCCATAAAGCTTTCATTCTGAAACTTCAACTTTCGGAATGGAGGCTTTTTGGTGAACAGGAGGAAAATGGGGAGGGGGGATTTTTCTGCCTGTCATCCATTCCTTAAGCTCCCTCAAGTTTCCAAAAATGGCTCCACTCCAAGCCTTCAGCATATCCCAGGATCCTGCAAGACTTGTTGTAGCATTGCGCATGCGAGCGGAGGCATTGCTGTGAGTTTTGTCACATTGGTGCAGCCTTTTCGAGCAGGACCCTGCAAGGATTGCTGTGCTGTTACACTTGCGAGTGCCGGCACTGCCGCAAGTTTGGATACACTGGCGCAGCCACTCACGGCAGGATGCCAACTGCACCGGTGTGATAAAGCTTACAGAGTGCTGCCATTCATGAGTGCAACGCCACAAGAAGCCTTGCAGGGTCCTGCTCCAAGAGGAATGGCTAACAGGCAGAAAAATCTCCCCATTTTCCTGCCTTTCACGAAAACAGCTCCATTCCAAACCTTCAGCGTTGCAATCCTGGGGTACGCTGAAGGCTTGGAATGCCTCTGCTTCAGTGCGGAATGACTTTCGCCCCTCTCTGCAGCTGGACAGTTGCCTCTCCGTCCTCGTCCCCGCGCCGTCACTAATGCCGGCCATGCCCATCCCCCGGGCTTATTTTCAGGGTAGGGGTAATATTAGGCCCACCCACCCCCAAAATTAGGATTGGCTTATTATTGGGGTGGGTCATGTTTTCTGAGAAACATGGTGTTGCGCCCACGTGACACCGTCGATCTTTGTGCAAGTCATCCGGCCGGATTCGCCAATGTAGCTGAACTCCGTATCGACCTGGGGAGGCAGAGACGAGGTTTCGGTCTGTCACTGAAGAAGCTCAAACTGGAAGTTCAGACCAGTCTCTTCTTGAAGGCTTCCAGTGATGAAGCTCCCACAGCTTCTGAAGGCAACTTCTATTCCATTGGTTGATTGCTCTCAGTGTCAGAAAATTTGAAAGGCTCCATCAATTCAGATGTGCCCTGTGATTGCTCGCTAGATTTCAATCAACATGGTAATTTGCTTCTTTAGGCTTCAAGCAAAACACCCCTTCTAATATATGGTTTTTTGTTAATGAAGCAAATCTAGCTTTGTTCAGTAACAGAGGCTGTTGCAAATATGCAATATAGTACAAAAGCCCCTATAAGTAAATGAAGAGGCAGATCAAAGTATATGCCTATTACCTATCATATTCTAAAAAGGTTTCTTGAATGAAATGGAAATTTAATCAGAATTTAGATAATAAAAGTGTCAGCTTTGGAAGCCATATTAGAACCAGAAGCTTCCACGTTGCCACATTCCTGTGCCTGGGAAAGTAGGGGGGTGGATTTTAGAGCGTTGGTAGTTAGACATAATAGCATTCTTCTTTTAGGCCAAGGTCATGTTATTCCTGCACCTGGAGGAGGAGTGGTTGAAGGGATGTCTCAAGTTGGGACAGTTGGTGATTGAACCATGTGATGGACTGATGGGTGCAGGGGTTGGGTTTTGAATTTTGAATTACTAAGAGAAAACCCGGAACTCAGATTCAGGTTTTCCCAGATGTGTCAGTATACCTACAATTATAAAAGGAAACTTTCAGAAAATGCCTGTCTCAGAGTTTTTGATTGGAGTTTGGGTTTTTCTAGAACCCTGGCAAAAAGATTACAGTATACCTCTTACTCTTCTATTCATAGCCAAGTGCTTTTCAAACTATGAGAAATGCTTCTGAAAACTTCTGAAAACTATTAAAAAATAACTTATTCACAAAACTAGAAAGCTATCAAATAACCTGGGAATCAGTTAAAGGTAAATGATGACTGACATTTTATTCTTTCAATGTTTTACTCTTTCAATATTTTTAGCCAGGAAGGAAAATTAGTTTTGTTTATTCAGGTTATGCAGCTGGTTTCTGAACATTGTTCATGATTGCTTTTATCTTTCTATACAAATCCATTCTATTTCTGAAATGATAGAACAAACCAAGTCAAAAACCATGTGGAAAGCCCTGCTTGAGACATGCATCTCCAAAAAGCAAAACCAAAAGGACATTATCAGGCTAAACATCTTTTCTTTGAGTGATGACAATTAAATTTCAGAAAACTGGCTTTCTTAAAACATTTCAGAGAGAGAAGCAGCCGGGTCGGGCCAGTTTCTTGGGAGAGCATGTGGAGCGTCTCCCTGAGCGCCCGAGGCTCACCCAGCACCAACAAGGGCTGGAAAGAGCTACAGCTGCAAGATGTTGCTTGACCTTGCAGCTGCTTCTTGTTGGTGCTGGGCGAGCCTCAGGCACTTGGGGAGATGGTCCACGTGCTCTCCACCCCAAGACAATAGACCCGGCTGCTTCTCCGCCACTGCTCTCTCTGGTGCGGTGGAGAGCATCTTGCACAGCACAGCGAAATTTAGCAGCTGTGAGTCGCTGCTTTGGGTCTTGGAAGTCCCATCCAGAAAGTGCTGCAGCAGAGAGAAGCAGCATTCAACCCGGCTGCTTTTCACTGCCGTAGTGCTTTCCAGATGGGACTTACAGGTCCGAACCCAAAGCGGGGGCTCATAGCTGCTAAATTTCACTGTGCTGCACAACACCCTCTCCCAGTTAGCAAGAGCAGCAGTGGAGAGAAGCAGCTGGGTCGGGCCAGTGTCTTGGGAGAGCACATGGAGCGTTTCCACAAGTGACAGGCTCACCCAGCACCAAGGGCCAGAAAAAGTGGCTGCAAAATCTGAGATGCCGGAGATTCAACCCGGCTGCTTCTCTCTGCTACAGCACTTTCTAGATAGGATTTCTTACAGCAGGGGTGGGCAAACTACGGCCCGCGGGACACATCCGGCCCGTTGGTCATTTTAATACGGCCCGCCTCTGAAAAAAAAATATTCCCCTCTGAAAAAAAAATTGGGGCCGGCCAAAAGAGACCCCGCGCCGCGCGCCAAAAAATTGCACACACAACACGGAGCTGGGCAGCCGCTTCCCTGGTAGCGGGGCCAAGGCCACCGCCTGGGGAACGCCCACTGCTTTCCCTCGCCAGGGCTGGGCGATGGCGTGTTGCCCTGCGCCGCGTGGCCCCCGCCTGGCAGCGTGCTTCTCAGCTGGTCTCCTCCTCCTTGGCCATACAGAACAAACAGGCAGAGAAGGAGGAGACCAGCCGGCTGGTTGGGGGAAGCTTTCTGCGCCGAAAGAGGCAGCTACTAATCTCCGGCTTTGCTCCGCTTCTCCAATGGTCCGGCACCACCCTGTTCTATGCGCCGGCTGCTCGGACTTGCTGGGCCTGACACATAAAACAGGGCGACGCCGGATGTTGGAGAAGCAGAGCGGAGCCGGAGATCATTAGCCGCCTCTTTCGCAGCACAAGAAGCCTCCCCCAACTGACCAGCTGCTCTCCTCCTTCTCTGCCTGTTTGTTCTGTATGGCCGAGGAGGAGGAGACCAGCCAGCTGGTTGGGGGAAGCTTTCTGAGCCGAAAGAGGCAGCTACTAATCTCCGGCTTTGCTCCGCTTCTCCAA